GACGGGCAGCAAAGGGCTACGCTGCCACGCACCAAACCTGAACTCGGGGTGAGGGGGGAGGCTGGAGCAGGAGCAGCAGGCACAGCTCCTCTATTCCTACAAGGATGCTCCCAGAGCCAGGCAAGCAGAGAAACACGATGCCTGTGTTACTATATTAACAACAAACCCCATGTTGGGTCCAGTACCTGGTCCTTAGTGCAGCTTCTAAAATACAAAGCGCAGCCTTGCCCCACAAACCCACCTCTCGCTATGCCTCTTCTCCCTCCCCAGACCAAGAAGTGTCAGATTCCTTGGTGCAAAGATCCAGAGTTGGCCCCTCTGGCCGTCCAAACCCAGTCCTGGCTTTTGCAGCAGAGCCTCTGAAGGCAGACAGCTTTGCCACCAACCTCCAGCTTCTGCCTGCAGCAGAGCTCCTGGAAAAGAGCACTCCCTCGATGGGGGATCACACTGAGCGCACGGGGACACGCGCTGCCCCGCTCTCCCGTGCTGGGGGATCTTGCTTGGCTTTCCCGTCCAGTTTCCCCTCCAGCAGCGGCCCCAGCCACCGTTCCCAGCTGACCAGAGCCGTGCACAGAGCACTGCTAGCCCCAGCCCCTGCCCTGGCCAGGCTCACCACTGGAGCACCTGTGCTCTCATGAAAGGTACCAACGACTGAAGGCACAGCACCCTGCAGGACCCAGCAGCACTTCTCCAAGCATATTTCAAGACACAAGAACAAATCCTGATCCAAACCGCCCTGCCAGATCCCTTCGGGCTCAGAGGCACCCATATCACCGTCAGTAGTGCCCCATGGAGTTCGTTTCTCAGGGACACCGGGGCACATGGACCAGGAACCAGCCTGACAAAAGGGATTTCCAAGGGACCAGCAGCCCCCATCCCCTGCCCCGCAGCCAGGCAGAGGTACCAGTACCCCAAAGCTCTGCTCTCCCTTCTGCCGTGTGCTCTGAGCAGGAGCGTTACACCCAGGGAAAGGAAGAGGCGACATCCAATCGTCTTGCTCATACCAGGTTTATTTTTCTCTTCCCTGCATTTCTGATACAAGGGATGTAACCAAGGTCTCCACAGCAGCAAGTCTTCTATAGAAAAAATAGTCATTAATCTCCCATGGCAAAACCATCCCTGCCCTACAAAGAACACCCGCGCAGAATACAGCAGTACAGGCAGGGACCGATACACGTTGGCAGCCTTCTGCTCAGGTAAAAATGTATTAAAGCCTCCCAGTCATACAGAAATCAGCTACTCAAGAGAAATATTATTGTTGCACACACAGCCACCAGGGCGTTTACTAGACAATCATGTTTTATACACTAGCTACAAAATTGGATGTAGTGTCTCGTAGTGCAGTATTTCCAGGTTTGGAGGGACCTAGCTAAGTCTGCATTAAGATCTTTTCTAGGAATTGTACTCCTGAGGAATGAAGGAAAAAAGGGGAGCAAAGATTTTATTTCACTGTGTCAACAGCTCACTTCACTGAACAATCATTGTGCTCTATTTAGACACTGCATTTCCCTTGAAGAAAAAAAGAAATCTTGTATGATATTTTAAACTATGATTGGTACAAGTCGGTGCCTAAAACTCTCAACTACACAGTCAACAATAACTTGTTAATGCTGAAATGCTCTATGTTAAAAAAAAAAAAATTTGAATGTGCTATCATCTTTAATTTCTCTGGACTCACTTAGTCTAGTATCTTGAATCCTCTGAATGCAGACATTCCTGTCCTCACTAACACTTCCGATCACTCCTGTTTAATTATTACTGAGTTGACATAGAAAAAGGATCCCGATGTTGCTTTCCAGATGCATTTCCAGGCATTGGTTCAAAAAAAAAAAAAGGGTTACTTCTCTGAAAATCAGCTGAAGCAAGACAGAAGAGAAAGATGAAGCAAAGGCTACCTCTATACTCTTGGTTGAACGGTGCCAACTATTTTCTAGTCTGTTTGAAATGTGCAACGTATCGTGGTCAAGAGGGTCTTCCAAAGAGCCCAGGGAGCATTCTCCGTGCAGAGACCTGTGCCACGCTGAGCACGCCTGGGGATGCGAATCCCTGTGAGATGGACCAAGGCATTCCAGAAGATGAGGTAGGGTACGGCAGCCTCACACAGGAGCGGCTGCTGCGAGCTGACCCGCGCAGCAAGGCTCCGAGCCGATGTGCCCATACAGTGCAGAGGGGCCAGAGCGCAGAGTGGGGGTTGCCAGTGCCACGGGAAGGTAAGGTGGGGAAAGGAAGTCCAGGGCAGATACTAGCAGCCTCTGTGGGAGCTTGTTTTATTAGTGGGCAGCAACAGGGGAAGCGGAGAAGGTGACTGGTTTTTAATCCTGTCCCGAACAGGAGAACGCACATGGCTTCCCTTTGTGCCAGACCCAGCAAGGACAGAGCAGCCCAGGAGACGGCAGTCTCTCCTCTCACCCGGCCCAGGCCGAGGCAGGACTTGCAGCAGCACGAGGGACCAAGGCCAGGAAGCTGCAGAGACACTTTACAAGTCAGGCTCTGGAGTTCATTAGAAATGGTAGGAAGGGTCCACACCTTCCCAACACACACACGTACACACTCCCCCACTCACACCCTCCCTTTCAGAACAACCTGAAAAAGCTGCCTGCTACAGGCAAACATCAACTGTTAAAAATAAGGCCAGAAAGAGACAAAGCGACCAAAATAAATAATTTGGCAACAAAGCAAATGTGGCTGTTAGGCAGAGGCCAAGTCCTGGTTCAAAACAGCACATCTTCCTAACAAAAGAGCCTGCAACAAAGTGAAACTTCTATCCAAGCAAGAGAAATTTTGCCAGCGGAGGTTTCCAGAGGGCTCTTGGCAAATCGACACACTCCCCTTCCAGAGAGCGCAGGGGGCACCTGCCCCACTTGAGCACTGTGCTGGGGAGTGAGGGCTGCCCGAGCTGTGTGCCAGCTCCTGTCCTCTGGAAACTAAATAAAATTAAACCTTTTCTGCTCCTGAGCAAATTCAGACAACAACCACTTTCGTCCAAAGCACAGGCTCTGGCAAGAGCTTGGCAGAGGCACAGCTGGCTCAGCATGCTGACCCCCACGCCTGCTGCTTGAGCTCTTAACGTACAGCACTCTGAAGCCTTCCTGAGAATGGCAGGGTCCATCTGCTTGCGTTTAACCTGCTGCTTCTCAAGTCTGGGCCAGTGGTTCATTCTCGGAGATAAACACAAGGGCCTTGCGCAGAGCAAGGGCATCAGGAAGCCCCCGCGCAGTACCTGTCCTGAGTAAACAGTGCCCATTTGTGGCACATCCAACGCTGCAGCCTCGTGCTCGTCTCCTTGTGGGCTCTGTCATGTTTCTGCCTTTGTGCAGCTTCCCACAGACTGACTTCTACCCAGTAAGAAACTGGACCATCTCCTGGGAAAGGAAAAAGAAACACTCCCACAGCAGCAGCTGCCCAGACTGCACAGCCTGCTGGGGGGTATTACAGTCACTAATCTGACTGGCATTTTTAATGTTCCTTTTATGCTCCCCCGGGGTTTGCTTTTAAAGACGATTTACGTGGGTGTCAAGTGAAGTGTATTGGGTCAGGCCCATCACCTCCTTCATCCTGGAGAAGTGCCCAAGAAAAGCCAGCCCTGTCTAGCCCAGAAGCTCTTCCCTGTAAACCTCTATTATCAGCTGCATCTCTCCAGCCCTCAAGTGAGCAGTCAGCTCCCATGGAGCTGATCCACCCTCCATGCATGAAGGCCTCCACCTCCAGCAGCAGTCAGCAGCTCTGAGAGCCCCCATTGCAGAGTCCAGGGCCATAGCAACTAGGACAGCTCGAAGCCAGTGTTCATGCTGATCGCGTAGCGCAGCTTCTCCCGCAGGATGCTCTTCTTGCTGTAGTTGGGAAGCTTGAGGAGGTTGAAACACGTGGAGGAAGTTGGGAGACGCCCGCCTGGCTCCTTCTTGCGGATTGTGAAGAAGCCCCGTAGCACGCTGCCCAGTGTGTCACCGGTGTCCTGGAACAGGGCAGAAATGCATCACCCTTGCACTTCTCTGCTGTGCTCCTTCCAAGCAGGGTGCCTATACACAGGGCAGAGGTGCTAACACAAAACCTGTCTGGTGGGAACAAGGACAGTCAAACCTCAAAGCCCCGTCCCCCACAACAGCTAGAAAGGAGCTTCTCTTGTAACTGCAACTGCCATTACACCTGCAGGGTCCCTTTGCAGGGTGCACAGGGGAGCGGGATCAGAGGCACAGGGAGGTCCCGAGGAGAAAACACAACCCTGGAGACAGGCAAAAAGAGCCCAGGTGCAGCTGTGTGTGGGAGGAGGTAGGTGCAGCCATATGCATCCTATTAGCGTAAGGTTGTTTTCACCTTGCCCTATAGAGCATATATTTTTATGCCTTAGAGTTTCCTGGTCAGACAGAGATGAGGAAGCTGGGCAGGGAAGGAGGCTGTCAGAAGCCTGGCAGGGAGCGCATGAGACACGAGCACGCAGGGTGCCTACCTGATCGTCGGAGACTTCCACGCAGCGGATGGAAAAAGGAGGCTTGAGGTAGGCAAAGCCCAAAAGTGGAGGCCTGGAGCAGCTGGTAACAAACTGAAAAAGTGATGGACAGTGAAAGAGAGCAGCACTGAGAGCAGCCTGGCTGTAACAGACATGTGGCTAATGCAGTCACAGCAGACAGCTGCTTGGACTGGCATTTGAGCACCCCCCAGTACAACACTGCTGAGCTTTAGTGCACAGCTCCCCTAGCCTTTGAAAACAGGACAATCGTGGTGACACAAGAGCATTTATAGGAACTCTGCTTCCACGGCTGCCCCTCTGCAGGGGAGCAAGATGTTGATTTTAAGGCGTCAAGCATTCTGACACTCCTGTTAGTGCAGAAAGCACATAGCTAATGGGAGGAGAACAGCACTGGCCCAACCACCCCAAATGGCAGGTTGCGCTGAAATGACTGCGTTTACCTTGAGAAACATGGCTCTCTCCTCCGGGCTGAAGTCATTGGCTAGGATGTCCCAGAGCCAGATAATGACCCGGTGGCTGCCATGGAAGCCCCCATAGTACACCGTGTGTTTTCTGGGGAGAAAAAGGTTGCGGTAGGCTTGTGTCCCATTGCAGCAGGAGGGTCACAGCTGCCAGCTGACCAGTGCTGGAAGGACCAATACCTGCCACAAGTCAAGGTTCACTCTGCCAGTACTGAGCCCCCAACGCTTAGAGGGTACTTGATCAGAGAAAAGGGAACAGCAGAGAGAAATTCCGCTCAGGAGCCAGTGGAAGAAAGGACCCTTCCCATTCATTAGTACTTTGTCCAAATTAGCTTTAAGGAACATGTCCTTCAGCTCCATTCATTTCTGCCCGCTCCTCAAATTTCAATTAGGAGAAGCGGAAAGTTGTGAAAGAGTCAATCCCCTGCAAACCTCCAAATAGCTATATAATAAAATGGCTTGGTTAGCTGAGCGAGAAGACCAGCAGACCAAGTTGCTCACTTACTTTAAGTCCTCAAGGTCAATCTCAGCATTGTCACCGGAGATCAGCCGCTGCAACTCTGGTGCAGAAAACATACGAATCCATTCAGGCTTAATGATCGACCTGAATCCACTGATGAGTGCTGCTGTCTGACTCTTGATTTGTGTGTGCATCCGGAAGTGAGCCATGAGATGGATGTAGCTGATCCTGTGTGTGACAGGGAAGGTGGCAGTGAGGGAGCTGGAGCCGCAAGGGACAACCTCGCTTGTGCAGGAACAAGGTTGCTGACCTGCCTCTCCAGCCCAAAAGGGACTAGGCACTGCCTGGAGATGCATTATACTTTCCCCGCCAGGGCCCTGCTCTTTATTTAAGCAGAAAGAGCTGTTGTTCTGCCCAGACTCTGACCTCCACCCCCCACCTCTGGGACTGTCTGCTCATTTCTTAGAGCTTCTTCCTAACCCAGGGACTAGCTGGCTCTAATAAGCGCTTGATCAACCTTGGCTGGACAGCAGCTTACAGAGGGGAGCATGCGTCCAACTCCTCTTTAAAGGATCCGATCCCCCAGTCACAGGTGCTTCTCTAGGTTTGAAAAACAACTGTCTGGGCTCTGATGCTGCCTGCACCGAAACCCATGGCTGAAGAACCAACACACCAAAAAAACCACCGAGGAGACTTCCACCTTCATCCCAGGAGTATGGAAAATGTGTGCCGTTTATTAGAGGGAGGCACCATCAGGCTTCCTCTTCTCACCAACAGTCAAAACAACTGAGCTTGCTGATTCTTCTTCATCAGCTCCTAGGCAGACACCACCACAATCACATTGACTGGGTTTTCAGCTAGGTAACCCCACTCTGCCATTAACAGACAGAACTGTTTCTAGATTGCTTCCACTATAACACTTCTCCTGCTCCCTCCCAACTACCAATTTCTGTGCACATCTGCACAAAAGCTTCAAAGTTTCTGCAGTAAGCAAGTAGGATAACATACAGGACTTTCAACTTTCTCCCTGAGCTGACTTCTGACAAGCCAGAGAAAGATCCTTTCAAATGCAAACTCCCTGGTCAGAGCTCAAGAAGGGAAAAGACTGGAAACATCAGATTGCAAAGCACACTAACAAAGACAAATCCTCAGGTGGGATCCAGCTTTCACTTGCCATTAAAGAGAACAACCCCCAGATTACCAGTTCAAACACACATCTGCTTAATAGATATTTTATCCTGCTTTTATGATCACTGAAGGGTATAGAGAAGAAAAAAAAAATGAAGGGAACAAAAAGGTGGGTTTGGTTTTCAGGCTCTGGAGTTGACATTTACGATAACTATCTAAAAGCCGGTTATCTGTGAAAATAGCTACAGGGCTTGGTGTCTCCTCTGATTTCCTGTGTCTAAAGTACGACTGTCGACTGCATTTGAATTCACCACTGTCTCTTCTGAAGAACAGTGCTTTATACAACTGCCACATGTTATCATTCTGAGAAGATCTGTCTGCTCCAAGGTGTCTTTGAGCATCTGTGCCCTCTATGTTCACGACTGTGTGCCTGAATTGCTTTGAATCCATCTGTCTGTATCTATCACCGTCATTAAATCCTGCAGAATCTCACAGACTGTGTGCCTTTGACCTCAGAAGCGCTGTTTCAAGAAGTAAATTGTCAATTTTTATTTTGCAAATCGAATTTAATACAATTTCTGCCGATGAACTGTAACCAGTAAATTCTATTAAGATATTTATGTGCTCCTTCTACTCCAATCTATCTCAATTCATTCCAGATGCAAGCCCAAGGAACTAGAATAAAGTATTTTGCAGTGGTGACCTTAAAAATCTAATTGCTGTACTTACTTATTTTCATTGGTAACGGGAATGGTCTTCCCTCCAGGAACAAGTTCATGGCAAACAAGCTGAAGGAAGAAACGATTGTATTGCTAATTACTGCCTGGGACCACAATGGAAAGAAATGCCACGCTAAGCTGTTACCTCCCCATAAAACATTTATTTTTACAATAAAACAGTAGGATTTAAAATTTAAGTAATAATCCTGCTTCTGCCTTGAACCAGCTTCACTTAACTATTAACACAGTAATTGAACAGTAGGGAACTCTAACTCTCCCACCAGTGGAGCCAGCCCTTCTTTGAGGAAGCCTCCTCTCTA